CACATGGGATATAAAGAAACATGTATGAGTGAATGAAGTAGTTTTAAGTGCGACGTCAAATGAAAGCCCATTCAAATACTTTTGACAAACAGGTATATCCCTGATGATAGGTCTTAAAGCATTTAAAAAAGACCATATCTACTAAAGAAAGGAAGATTATTGTTTTGCTTATTGATAAGTAAAAGCAAGACAATACAAATACTTCACGAATTTTAAATGATTTGGTAATGAAATACATGTACATGTGGTTGACTTCTAACCTCTTTAAAATTGTTCAACTGAGTCTTAATGGAATCTATTCAACAAATTCCAGCTTTGAAGATGTCCTAAGCCCTGGACAGGCCATACTTACCTCTTGCCACCTGGTTCCTACAGGCCCTGAGGCTCTGGTACAAGCTGAAGCCATCTATGGTCACCAGGGCATTGGGGTAAAGAATAGTCAGCTCCTCCAACTGTAGCAGAAATACAATTTTTTTTAAATTCCAGATCTTCATCTGGATCCAGATCTTTTTAAGGGTACGGCCTACACATGAAAAAATTTGACTAAGTCAGACTAACCATTCATGTGCTCCTTCTGTTAACAAGCCAACCATGTACATGTAATAGAAAACAAAAACAAATGCAGGTGAGACCATAAATCTCCATTTAGCAGAGGTAATAAGGTACCCAAGAGGCTGACCTGTTCTGCTGCTCCAGCATGTCTTCTTGGCTGGTACGTGCTGCATTTGACCTTCAATACGGGGTCTTCATGCAACAGTTGAGACAGTAGGAGGTTCCCATTCTATACAGCAGGAGGAAAAGTTTTTTTAAAAAGCTGGAATTGCTGGAAGGAAAGGGGGTGGGGTGGGGGATGGAAGCTAAAGGAAGAAAAAGTGGATGCTAAAGGACAAAGACAAAAAAAGGTGCATCATTGTGTTTTCTCTGTTTGGTGCTAGTCAGGCACATAAGAAGTTTTATAAGCTATTCATAATTATCTAGTCTGCAAACATACAGATCCACAAACAGCACTGAAACAAAATTTTATTGGTCAGTCAAAATCTGACTCTAATTTCAATGGCAGGCAATAAAAAATCATTGCCATGGCAACCGTTTCTCATTCAATTTGTAGTGACATCTATCTGCTGATGAATTTGTTGTGTCATTTGGGAGTGCATCTGGTTGTGGATGTCATCTGGGTGTTTTTGTAGTATAATTTCATCTTTCTGTCTGCTGGATATGTAGTTACACCTCCCCCGCCCACTCACCCACCTACAGACAAGAGCAAGATTACCTAATCACAATACAGTCAAAACAATGCATTGGTCTGATGCAAGCAGACGCATTAAACATGTGAGGTTGACATTTGACATTTTTGGTGCGCAGAATATCCTAGCAACAATATTTTTCTAAAGAAAGTCCCAGCTGGTAGCTGCTGTATGAACTTTAGAATAATCCATTTGTACACAGATCTCTCTACTTTAATGTCAGACTCCAGCTTATTGGTAAGAAACCTTTGACGCAAGAAAGGTTTATCCTGTGATGGATTGCATTGAGAACTAGAAATTTCCAAAACAGCAAAACACGTTCTCATCTCCAGTCTGGACATCATCTAAAACATGGCAGAAGAGGCAAGTGGTTTTTCTGCTAATAACGACAGTATGTATCGTAACCTGTCTGACAGTCTACTGTCTCGTGGCCTCCAGACAGCATATCTAACCGTCAGTCTGGTTGTGGCTGTAGGGTGTAGCCTGCTGCTCATTATCCTGGCTTGGAAGAAGAAATATCTCCAAAAGCCTCGTCACTACCTACGATGTAACCTGGCGGTAGATGACCTCATCTTTACCGGCTGCATGATTCCGATGAAGATTAGTGTGCTCTTCAGTGAGAACAGAAGCAGTCTCCAGCTTTTATGTGGTCTCCAGCGGATAGTGGCCCCTCCATTATCAATATCAATGTTTGGTACGTACCTCCTGATGGCAATAGAACTGTACTACTTCATATGCTATCCACTGCACTACAACAGCAAGGTCACCACAAAGTGGGCTGTTATTGGCATAGTCACAGTCAGGGTCTTAGCCCTGTTCTTTGGCCTTGGGCCTGTGGTCATCAAACAACTGGAGAACCCTGGAAGCCGGATATGTGATAGAGATCCCTTAGACAGCACCACCGCAGCTGCCATCTTCAGAGACATTTACCAAATCGGGATAATACTGGTTGTTCTTGCCATCATCATACTCTACTGCTTTGTGTTCAAAGAAGCTAGGAAACAGCAAGAGAGGGATGAGAACCGCAACCTGTGGCTCTATCAGACTAAGGCCTTCAAAACACTGGCACCTCATGTCATTGTTTTAGCTGTGTCAGTAGCAACACTTATGTCCATGCTTGTCCTGAAACGGGCGATGTTGACTAAAGAAAATGCACCAGTCACATTACACAGAGCTGAGAAAGCAGCCAGCATTCTTTACCTGACCCTATCATCCATGGTCAACCCCATCGTATACAGCGTCAGACAACCAGAGTTCCGAAGAGCAATGAGAGAACTGTGTGGCATGACTCCCAACGCACCCGTAGCACCGGCTGCATCAACACCACCCATACAGCATGGACAGGACATGGAGATGGCTGTCATTGATATTCCTGATCATGGTAACGAGTCATCAGGCCAAGATGTCACGTCAGCACCACATTCTCAGGAAGAAGAGGCAATGAACGAGGGGCAGCATGGAGGGACTCAAGGCACCTCTCACTCCAGCCCAGGCACTGACACTACTGACAATACTGTGAGTTCAGGCAGAAACCAGTGGCTGGCAGCTACTACATCCAGCCCAAATATAGGACACAGTCACAGAGGCAGACATGCATGGCCAGCAAACATCACCTCTCAGTCCAGGCCAAACACAGTCAATACAGGTGGAAACCTGTGGCTAGCACTTACTACGCCCAGCTGTCAGTCCAGCCCAAATATAGGACACAGAGTCAGACACGCATGGCCAGGAGGCATCACCTCTAAGTCCAGGATACTGTAATTACAGGCAGAAACCTGTGGCTAGCGAGCACTACAGCAAGCTACCAATCCAGGCCAAACACAGGCAATATGTAACCAAAAACTTTGTCATCAACACCAGAAACTGTGACGGGTGTAGACACTGTCAATGTGCACTACTTCTAAGTTATATTTTAACTGTACTTCTACATGTATTTTATCTTTAAATAGTTCAATCCTCTTCAACTTGTATGTAAATTGTGTTTGTAAATGTACTTGTGTATGGAAAACAATAAAATGAAGTGGTATACTATGGCAGTATTATATAACTGAAAGGAAAAGGCTGTTGTATTTCAAAGTAATATTTTTCTTTGTATGTAAATTACTGTCAACCCTAGATGAGTGCATAACAGGAAATAACATATGGCATCTAGTGCATATTGTCCCTGTGTGTAACAAAACATCATATGACAAAATGGACTGAATAAAGAAGAGGACATGATTTATATCATGTTAAATGTTCTGGTGTATAAACCATGTTTGTTGATATGCCTAAACAAAAACATCCGACAACACTGGAGCATATCAAGAAATGGACTTGGGGGTAAAATTGAAATGTCTCCTAACTATCTGTGTCCCAACCCACCTCTGTATACATCCTGATATAGCCTGAAGTGAACCCCATCACAACACATGTCCAGTCTGGGCCTCCTGTAGAGCTCCTGCAATAAGCAATACATATTCTTAGTGGAATAATAGAAAATATGAGTCCTCCCTCCCCCCTTACACATGGAAGATTTGTGAAGTAGCAATACACGTTTAACTATGCATGAAATTGGGGATCAAACCACTCTAAATATCTAACCCTTGCATTCCACCAAATTTAACTGTGTAAATCAGATAATATCCAATAATATAATAATTTGAGTACTGATAGTAACAATCTGTAACATAGACCAAGGAGCTGAATTTGAACCTCCTTGCATACACCCACTCTACTTAGGCAAGTATCTTCCTTTTCTGAATTCACTTGTTTGATTTGTATCATGAGAAAATTGTTAAAAATGAGTGAGTAATTTTCTCCACCTACCTTTTCAATGATGCAAGTGGGATGCACATGATACTGGTGACACACTCCCTTGAAAAGAAAAACAGGATGGTAAGTTTTTGTCTTTAGGTTCTAGTCCCTTGCAATCAAAAACCTAGTATTTAAAAGGGACCATTACTCTTATTGTGAGTTGTATGTCTTTTACATCCAATAGACAATAGCTACTAGATATTGCAGCATGCATATTTGCAGCATGCCAATTTACATAACAAGTTGGCCATTGTTTAATCATTCATACTAATTATTTGTAACATACCCTTCCTCCAGATTGACAGGTCCTTTCCAACTCATCTGGTACTTCAGTTTGTCAGAATCCCATTTATCTGTAGAAAAAATGCATCTTTTACTCAATTCTTCTTAAATTCATTGTTTGAAAATTTAACTAGCCTGTTAATGCATTTAAGTAGTAAATACATTTTGGCTCCCAAGCTTTGGTCCATCACATATGTATGATGCCTATTTCTTGTACATGACGTTTAATAAATAAACTGATTATACAAATAACTGAACAATTCCTTTTTGGAACAAAACATGATCAGTCATTAATAACTACAAGTACTCTGCTGCAAGACCTTCCCCGCAGCATGGGAATAGCCATACATACGTGACAAGAACACAGCCCTATCTTCAAATGCCAGGGCCAGAAGGTCATTGGTGGGAGACAGAGAGATGCAACAATCTTCCAGCCACGAGTTGGCCTCCTCTTCCTTCTTCTTTTTCTGCTGCTGAGTCTCCTCAGTAAACTGAGAAGGAAGATAAACAGTTAAATGTATATCGGTATAACTGACACGTTGGCAGAACATACTGCGCCTGTGCAAAACCCTGATTTTTCGTGGTTTTCATTAGATATTTGGTCAACGTTGCATCAGAATTTTTCTTGTTACAGAGGACATATTTCCCGATATAACATTTGGAAACTACAAACGGGATGTTAACCTTATATGCAAAAGTATGACCTTATATGAGATGTTCTATTGAGGTGCTGTTATACATAGAATACAATTCCGTATCGCCCCAGGTACCAGCCTGACCGCGCGTCGACTGCACACAGTAAGTTCTGCCGACATGCTGGTATAACTGTATTTCTTGCATTTGAAAAAGGGGCACTAAGATGGTTGAAATCAATGGCCAAACTTCATTGAGGGTCTGCATGCTCTTTTCCGTAAGGCGTAGGCGGGCCTTTTTAATCTCCCCTAATTCGTAGGGAAGTTATTTTATTTACCGTAATTCGTAGTGAGGAGGCGAAAATTTCCCGTAAAGCGTAGCCAGCGCATTTTACGTAAAGCGTAATCGAGCCTAAAAATTCCATGTAAATCGTAGTCTGGACTCCCATTTTTCGTAAGCCGTAGCGGACGAACCAGCAACCAGCGGATGACCTGTTGGGTCAACGTCGTACCCAGGATTTCTATTGTCTAACCTGGACACGAGAGCACCCATGACATCCGTGGAGTTCTGTGCTATTATTGGTCAGTATTGGCCGAGTGGCGGGAGCACATCTGGAGTCAATTTTAGTTGCATCTTCATCTCTGCTTTATCTTGTCTGTCCCTTTCTTGCCTGTCCCATCTGGGTCCATATGTGCGGTACAATCCCACCATGGCTCACGTGATGCCCGTGATTGTGCGCATTTTATCGCATCAGTCCGGCGGGTTGTCTATCAAGAGGCGGCATCTCCTTTTTTATCTGGTTCTTTTGTTTCACGAACTAAAATTCTTCGCGAACTTGTTCACCCCGTTTCGTGAAATTTACGAACATATTTACAATGCATGTATTTTATTTTCTCAGTCGTAAAATGTACCGATGGGCACATGAATGTACCGAAACAAAATCAGTATTAGTTTGTTGGTTAGTTGCTCAGAAATCGGGCTCTAAAATACACCAGAGTGCCTCTCAATTTTAAAAATTTCCTGGGGGAGGTCCCCCCCCCAACGAGAGGGGGGTTTCCCCCCTCTCGTGCTCTCCCCCGCGCTTACGCGCCGCGCTTACGCGCCGCGCTTACGTGGCCTTCGGCCACGTCAGGTGGTCCGCCCCTCCGCCGTTCATAAATTTCTGGATCCGACGGTGGTACGAGTTTTAGATGCAGGTTGGTGAAGTGAATGTTCTAAAGTGGGTACCGTTATGTACCAAATTATGAATGCTGTATGAAGTACCTTGCATGCGCGCATCATTGCAGGGTGTACATCACAGCTATTGTTTGCGATGTTGTCGGTGAATTTGATCAGTCAACGCAACTTGAATTTAGCGTTATTCGTAGCGAAGCGCCAGAATTTAGCGTAAAGCGTTGCTGGCCTCCCGGAATTTAACGTAAAGCGTTGCGAGCCTCCATAAATTTAGCGTAAAGCGTAATGAGGACCCCCCATGAAGACCCTCCTCATTGTGGGCGTGGATAGTCAAATCAAGGAACATAAACCACCTTGGTCAGATGCACTTACCTCCTCTCCCCAACCCCAGTCCTCTTCCTCCCAACCATCGTCTGCTGTAGAATGCAGATGGATGAGAGAATATGACTTTTGTTGACAATTAATTCATGATCGATCTCAAAATCTAAATGAATTTCGATGACAAAACATTATGATCATCATGGAAAATAAAGCTATTCTCAAATACATTGGTCCCTCAAAATGATCACTATAAACACGATTGAATGATCAAGAAAGGAAAGATCGATGCTTCTCACTTCACCACCCCCCACCCCCTTCCGTTTCTACCAACCTGGACTTTTCGTCACCGGTTCTTCAAGCAAGTTTGGAAACAAGAATTTTCGGACAGTAGATACATTTTGGATGTTTGCTTCTATGCTCAAGGTGCACGACATGGTTCAGTTTGCAAAGAGTACAAATTTACAGGGAAAATCCAAGGAAAAAAACACCACTTCTTTCAGTTGTCGTCTGCCATGTTGGAAAATGACGTCATTAATGGTCACCACAGAACAAATTAGCAATTTTGAGATCTAGAA